CATACCCACTCCAACAAAGCCACACCTCCTAATAGTACCACTCCCTGTGAGCTTATGGGGGTCAATCCATTCAAACTACTACAGGAAGCCTCATGAAAACAAGTGCTAGGTAAATCCAGAAGTGGTGGTGTGGTGGTTTGAACAGGTATGGCCCCCATAGACCCATGTGTTTAAATGCTTGGCCCATAGGAAGTGGCACTATTAGGAGGTGTGGCCTTGTTGGAGGAAGTGTGTCACTGTAGAGGTGGACTCTGAGGTCTCATATATGCTCAAGCTACACCCAGTGTGTCATACTCTCCTTCTGCTGCCTTTGGATCAAGTTTAGAACTCTCAGCTCCTCTAGCAGCATGTCTCTGTCTGCATGCTGCCATGTCCCACCATGATGATAACGGACTAAACCTCTGAAACTGTAAGACACCACCATTAAATATTTTCCTTTATAAGAATTGCTGTAGTCATGGTGCCTTTTCACAGCAATAAAACCCTAAATAAGACAGGTGGCATCTCTGCATTGAACACTAGCATCATGCAATGGTGGAACTTCACAAAGATTACTTTTCTAGTTACTAAGCCACTCCACATCATGAGGCTTCAGAACTCACTTATTCCTGAGATATTCAAATAGCACATATTCTACAGCTATACAGAGGTCATATCATAATGAGTGGAAACCTGCACACACACACACAAAATCTGGTATCTGATCTGGACCTCAAAGGAAACATACAAAAATCATCAGGGAAGGAGAGAGTATGGGTGACTATACTACCGTGAGAAGCAGATTGTTTCTCAGGAAAGAAAAGCATTATAAATGGTCACAGTAGAAGGAAGAGAGGTAGGGCTTTCAAAACTGAAGGTTCATAAGGAATTCAATGGGAAAAAGACAATTCAAGCAATGGACAAAAGACAGGTGTGGGTGTCTTAGGGTTACCTTTGCTATGATGAAACACCAGGACCAAAGTAACTTAGGGAGGAAAGGGTTTATTTGGCTTACTTTATTCCACATCACTGTTCACCATGGAAGGAAGTTAGGACAGGAACTCAAACAGGGCAGGAACCTAGAGGCAGGAGCTGATGCTGCCTCTGGAAGAGAAGCCAGTGCTCTTAACTGTTTGAGCCATCTCTCCAGTACCTCAGCTGTTTTCTTATAGAACCCAGGACCACCAGTCCAGGGGTGACCCCACCCACATGAGCTGCTGGGCCTGCCCACATCAACCACTAGTTAAGAAAATGCCCTACAGCTTGTCTACAGCTGATCTGATGAAGGTAATTTCTTAACTGAAATACCCTCCTCTCAGATGACTGGTTTGTGTCAAGTTGACATAAAACTACCCAGCATAGTGGCCATTTCTCAATAGAAGACATGTAAGCAACAGACAGGCATAGGAGAAAAGAAGACTTAAGGTACTATGTATGCAATCAGTAGATATCCAAATGGATGCCTGAGTAAAGAAAATGTGGCATACATACATAATGGAATGTTTTTCAGTCTTTAAAAAGAAGGAAATCAGGCCTGGAAAGAGAGCTCAGTGGTTAAGAGCTATTGCAGAGAACTTGGGTTCTGTTAACCAGAATCTACATGGCAGCTCACAACCACCCATATCTCCAGTTCCTGGGTATCTGTCATTCTCTTCTGGTCTCTGTGGACTCCTGCACACATATGGTGCACATAACCTCATGCAGGCTCACACACATACACACAGAATAAGTAAGTCTTAAAAGGCAGTCTTAGCTAGGTGTGGTGACATCACTTGGAAGGCCAACTAAGGCTATATAATGAGTTCTAGGCCAACCTGGCCCACACATGGAAACTTGTCTCTACTCTAACTCATTCTCTCTCTCTCTCTCTCTCTCTCTCTCTCTCTCTCTCTCTCTCTCTCTCTCCAGTCATTTGTAATAATATCTGTGAAACTTATGAATCATGGATGAACTGAGTTGGGCACACAAAGGCAAATGTCGTATTATCTCACAGGTGGAATCTAAAAATGCTAAATTCATAAGAATGGAGTGGAATGGAAGTTACCAGGGGCTAGTGAGAGATTTTGTTCAAAGGATACAAAATTTCAGCTAGAAAAGGAAAAAGAACAACTGTACAGTATAGTAACTATACTTTCTGTTGTCTGTTGTTAAGTTACAGGTTAAGTCTCATCTAAGAAATTATTATTATTATTATTATTATTATTATTATTATTATTATTATTATCAGGGATAGAGGATCAAACCCAGGGTCTTAGCCATGTTAGGCAAGTATTCCCCCATTGAAGTATACTCTCAACCCTCATCCAAGTTCAGGGAATCTGCATTTTGAATAGAAGGCTCAGGTAATGTTGACAACTCTAATCTATATAGATTAATATTTTCTTAAAACTAAAAGTGCTAGCTGGACATGGTGATTCAAGAATTTAATTCCAGCACTCAGGAGTGGAGCAAGTAGATCTCTGTGAGTTGGAGGCCAGCCTTGCCTACTGCCAAGTGCCAAACAGCCACAGTTACATAGAGAGACCCTGTCTAAACAAACAAATGAATGATAAATGCTAGTGAATTCCATTTTAAAAAAGAAAGAAAGTGCCATGTCAAACTTGGAAGGACACACACTGAAAAATCTTTTATTGGGGCCAGCAGGTAAAGATACGTTCCCACAAGCCCAATAACCTGGTTCTATCCTGAGATGCACAAGGTTGAAGGAGAGAACCAGTTCTTGCAAGTTGCCCTCTGACATCCACACATATACCTGGCATGCACACTTACACACATGCAGACAGATAAAATATTGAGAACAAAAACAAAAACCACTTTAGCTGGGAGGTGATGGAGCACACCTTTAATCCCAGCACTTGGGAGGCTGAGGCAGGCGGTTCTCTGTGAGTTTGAGGCCAAGCTGGTCTACAGAGTGAGTTCCAGGACACCAGGACTGTTTCACAGAGAAACCCTGTCTCAAAACCCCTCCTCCCCTCAAAAAGAAACAACAACAACAACAAAAACCCAAAAACACACTTTAAAGTACTCTTCTTGGTAATTCATAAGATGCACATTGACAGACTAGCCTGTGCTGAAAGGAAAATACTCAGCTTCCTCAGAATTTCCCAAACTGATTTTTTTTCTCAGGAGGAATCCAGCTAAGATTCCTCAGAACATCAATGCTATGAAGCAAAGAAACAGAGAATTCAGTTTGTATGGAGAATGATGAAGGAAACACCTAGAAAAGAAAGCAATAGTATTTTCTATGGGGAACATGGATACAGCCACTACTCCCCAGAACAAAGTCTAAAGCCACCTCTAATGCTCTGTTCCCCAAACAGATGTCCAGAAGCTGTCACCCTCTCAAGTAACCCAAGGGTGCTGTACTGAGATATTTGGTCTGCAACTCAATGTGGCAATGGCAACTGCCAGCTGGCAGGAGTGTGCAGAGTTCAAAGCATCCAGAAGCCAACACCAGAAGGATGATGCCATATCAATATTGTATGTTCTGCATGTGATATTAACAGTTGCTTCTGAAAAAGAAAATCCATCCCAGCACAAGTAGCCTCTAATAGTAAAATGAAAGTTCACGAAGATAAGAATGAAGGATTTCCCACCCTCCAGAGATGTGAAACACTAGCCCAGGGGAGTTTCTGGGAAACTCCTAGTCAATACTGTGTACCTCACCTCCTTTCTGGTAACAAGGGACAGGAGAGGGAAGTATGAGGGGACTAGACAGTTAAGGCAAAGCTAGTATCCTGACAAACTGGTTAATGTGTTGAATACTTCAAGATGCACCATACTGCACCAACCAATTTATGTACTTTTTTTCTAGTATAAACCTAATAACTTCCATACATCCCTTCTCAACTTAGGGACACCTCACCAGCTACAATGATTTCAACAGACTTCATCATGTGCATTCATCATATGCCTCTGTCTCAGCTCTCCTAGTAGTACAATATTCACTCATCTTAGAAATGTTTCTGAGTGCCTAGGCAGACTCCCAGCACTGTGCTAAGCACTGGAGACCTGGCGATGGGAACAAGAGGTCTCTCGTTCCTACTTAGCCTTGGATATAAAGCAGTGAATTCCATAGCCAGCCTGTCTGTCTGTCCATGGGATCCAATAGCTAGCAGTGCAAAGAAGTAGGAAAAGCTGAGTCCAAACCCTTCTGTTTTATGGCTGATAGCCCAAAACAAGCCCAAATATCTGCATTTCAAATGTTCCAGTCTGTCTAACAGAGTTAATAGTACAGCCTACAGCTGCAGTAACCTGTGATTAGAGGAGAGGCAAATGCCAGGATTTTTATTTCCCCAGGATAGGAGCCCCTGTGTGCTTGTTCCCCGAATAATCTGTAGATTCCCATAATGTGATTTTTTTTTTTTTTTTTTTGGTTTTTTGAGACAGGGTTTCTCTGTGTAGCTTTGCGCCTTTCCTGGAACTCACTTGGTAGTCCAGGCTGGCCTCGAACTCACAGAGATCCGCCTGGCTCTGCCTCCCGAGTGCTGGGGTTAAAGGCGTGCGCCACCACCGCCCGGCCCATAATGTGATTTTTAATCATGAAAGATTAATACCAACAGTAGTCATACCCCAAACAATGCAACCTTGAACACCAATTAGCCAAAAACTAAAAACCTTACCAGGCTAAGTAGATTTGGAGTCTAGCACTAAGAAAGCCAAGAAGATCCTATCTAACATTTTTCCGATACTCCCAAGCATGTGGAATGTATTCCACTAGAGTCCACAAAATTACAAATAGACCATAAATGACCTCTGTCCATTTCAATCAGATTCATATATATATGGATATATATATGAATATATATATGAATATATATATATATATATATATATATATTTCAGATATACAGCTGATGGAATTTGAGGAATCATTGACATAGGTGTTATCTAGTATTCAAAGGCAGTGTAAGACTCCCATTATGAAAACTTTATCAGCTCAGGATGGAATAGGACAAAACATTTTTTTTAAAAAAAGCAAAAACCACACAATCAAATTTCGAGGCCCATTGTGCACTCACCAACACATGTTGGAAATATGTCCTCATTGTTGATCTGGACTTCAATCCAATCCATAAGCAGGTTCATGTACTGGGGAGCCGGTAGTGCAGTTGGCTTCTTATACTTGAGGTCATCCTGCCACCGATACTCGTATTTGGGACCCCCTGACATCACGGGGCAGGTCTGCTCAGTGCAGAACTCACAGATGGTGCCGTAGATGAGGTTGATGCGATTGAAGAAGTCCACCACATGCACAGCCACCCAGTCATTCTGGTCCTCCCCGCTGGGCAGCTGCACAGCTGCCCTCAGGTCCACACCTGAGTTGAGGGATGCCTGAGCTCGTTTATGCAGCTCAAACCTCTGTGTGCCAGGTTCAAATTTCCTCTTGGGCCGGAAGGTCTTGTCCTTGTTGAACACTTGCTTCAGGGCTATGGACATGGTTTCCTCCTTGTCTTCCTTCCTTTTGCAGGAAGCAAAAAGGCACTTGGGACTTTTCAGTGAGAGATCACAACCCAACAGAGTTTTCCACTGCCAGCCCTCTGGCCCCAGTCTTGCAGCCTACAGTTTTCCTCTATTTTAAATGGCTCCTTCTATCTTCCTCTTGAATGATCTCCAAGGGAACCTCATGTTCCTTCCTAAAGACAAAAAAGAAAAGGGAACTTGTGAGTGCTCAGCATGCATGTAAGAACTAACAAAGGAGCCGGGGGCAGTGGCGCTTTCCTTTAATCCCAGCACTTGGGAGGCAGAGCCAGGTGGATCTCTGTGAGTTCGAGGCCAGCCTGGTCTACAGAGCGAGATCCAGGACAGGCACCAAAACTGCACAGAGAAACCCTGTCTCGAAAAACCAAACACAAAAAAGAACTAACAAAGGCTTAGGAGAATTTGCACCTTGCATTACTGGCTGTGGTTAGTCCCTCTGGGTCTCAGTATGTGAATGTGGAGGTTAAGCTATTGCCTTGCCGGCTGCACTGGTACTGTGAGCTATGCAAACAACTAAGGAAGAAGAGATGCTACCCGCCTCCTTTTCTTTGTGGTCCCTGTCAAATCTTTGCTGGCTCTTCTCTGTGTGATCCTCAGCTAAGGGCTTTTCCAGGGTGCCAAGGAAGAGTGCGTTGGCCAGTGATTCAATCCTATTGCATATCTACTCCTTTTTGAAGACTAATGAGTAGGCATAGATTGTCTCTGAGTTCCCAAATAGATGATGGGACCAGGCGGCTAAAAGGAACCAGAAGTCTGCATCTGTTCAATTTGTAAGAAGTGATGAAAGTGGTCAACTTAAGCCCTGTATGGGTCATGTGTAATGCAGGAGAGAAGGCTGGATCACAGGGGGGTGTGGGGGGAGATGAAATGAACAAGAGGAGAGGGCAAAGAGGAGGAGGAGGAAGAATAGGAGGGGGGATAGGGAGAGGAGTAGGAAGAGGAAGAGGAGGGAAGGAGGGTAGAGGAGAGGAGGAAGAGGAGGAAAGGATGGAAAGGGAGAGGAGGAGAGGAGAAGGAGGAGGGAAGGAGGCCGCTGCAACAGTGGCTACTGAAACAGAAACAGAGCACACACTCAGGTTGCCATGGGGAGAGGAACACTGGGAAGAAAGCGGCAATAAGAAGGGGAAAGTGGTTCCTTCAGATCCACACAATCTAGGAAATGGTCCCGACACTCCAGAAGCTTAGCTACACTTGGTACCTTTGGGATACAGTCCTTCTTCCAGGATTGCTCGAATAATCCCTGATTTTAACGCTGCTGACTTGAAGTCAGTTGTTCCTTTGCAGGGAGCCCTAACTCTGACGGCAGTTGTCACCTCCACAGTGCACAGCCTTTAAGTTCCTAATGTCACTCCCAGGAGCCCTTTGGAACGGAGCTGTTCAACAGAACTTGCTCTGGCAATGGACATGTTAGCTGTACTTGTGGTCCAATGTGACACCCTCTATCCACATGCGACACTGAGTACTTGGATATAGACCGTGTGACTCAGGAACTGAACTTTATAATTTATCTTACTTTAATTTATTTAGCCATACATGTCTAATGGCTGCCACAAGGGAGAGTGAAGCCTTGAAATCCCAATGTTGTCCATTATTCCATTTGACTCTCAGAACTTTGGGAAGACTTACAGATTCATGGAAGAGTGTACACTCACAGAAAGTGTCACTCTTCACGGATCTCTACGTGACAGAATTACTGGCTTGATAACATCCTGTAGCTAGCAGGAGGAACTGGATGTTATCATATTTGGCACCAAATTTGGTTTGTTGGCCCCTTGTGACGGCACTTTCCACATGGCCCCATACTCTGAACTGTGATGTATTTCATCCTGCCTTTCCTACTGGTTCATGAAGCTCCCTACCCAGAGGTCTGTCCCTGTTCTGTCCTATACACACATTCCCCAGAGGCTGCCAATAAAGCTTGGGTTGAGGTGAAGGCTGTCCTGTGGCCTTGACACAAAAGATGATAATGGGTCCTCTTGGGCCGAACCACAACAAAGTAAGCCCAGAGCTGAGGCCAGCTTCAGAACAGCCAGCACAAAATCTGTTACAGGGGATTGGTGGATGAGCTCTCTGAACTGTTTCAATAACAGCAAGGAAGGGTTCTGCCACCCCCACATGTGAATAGGGCTTGGTTAAGTCATTGACACAGGAATATGTTCCTGAGGCATCTTTTCAAACTTTTAAATTAGCATGCACAGTCTTCATCATGGCATTTTCCAAACAAAATTAGTTTCTGCTAATTCTTCCTGAGAGATCAGATTCCCTCCCACAAATTTTGCTTTTTGCTCAGCACAGCCATGGTCCTGCTACCATGTGCTTCTTCCTGTCTCTCCCACAGCCCAGTACTCCCATCCCCTCTCTTCTCCCACCCTTTTCCTAAGAGCTTTTCCCTGGAATGCCACATCTGGGAAATGGAACTTTTTTCTCCTTCTTTTGTGGCATTAAGCATACACTCCCTGCTCCCACAAAAAGATCCAAGTGGAAAAGATCACATGACACTCTGCCTGAGGTCTTCTATGAAGTCATACTCCAGGGTACTCTGGACTATCAACTACATGGATATCAACACGAAAGTCTTCAAACTCTAGGGTGTGAACAGGTGCGACCTCCTTTTAAATGAAAACCTTTTGGGGGGCTGGGTTATAAGCTCAGTGGCAGAGCAGTTACCCAGAATGCATAAGGCAGTAGATTCAACTCCAGTGCCACAGGGGTGGGGGGTTGGGGGGGGGAGAGGTAAGAGAGGGAAGGAAGGAGGGAGAGAAGATGGAAGGTGGGCTCCTTGAAGATTTAGTCTGCCTGGAAGGAGCCTGAAGAGACCTGAACCTTTAAAAGGTCATTACCAAAATAAATGCATGAGTGAGAAGTTGGGAAAATGGAGACGCAACGGCGAGACTTGCTTCTTCTTTTTCCTCACTAAATCAACAGTAGCTCCGCTCTGCAGCACAGCAGTAACAGGTGGCCCCCTCCCTTTGTCAACTCCCATGGTCCTTAGAGAAATGCTCTTCCGATTCCACGACCCGCAGTACCTCTGATTCTGCTGCTTGTGCGGCCTGCAGTGCCCATCCGATGGGCACCATGTGCCAGGCTCTTATGAACACCATCAACAGATGTGTCTGACGTCCCAGATGGAAACGCATGAATAAGAACTTTCTCAGCCAGGCAGTGGTCGTACACCCCTTTCATCCCAGCACTCCGGAGGCAGAAGCAGGCTCATCTCTCTGAGTCTGAGCGCTATAGAGTGACTTCCAGCAAAGCCAAGGTTACACAGAGAAAACCTGTCTCAAACCCCCACCCCCAAAAGAACTTTCTCTTTAAATCCCTAAGTGATTGGCACAATAAAAATAAAAAAATAGTCAAACCTTGCTAGAATTTTGGTTATTTTTTTTCTTTTTTCTAATGATACTTAAGTAACAGATTTCAAGATCTCAGTCTCTTTAACTGGAGGGACATTTATCCTAAACTTCAGTCAGGTTTAAAATCACTATCTTGGGGCTGGGGAGATGGATCACCCGGTAAGAGTGCTTTCTAAGCAAGCATGAAGTCCTTAGCTTAGATCCCCAATGTCCACATAAAAGTCAGGGTGTGGCCAAGGGAATGAGCAACCCTACCTAGTGCTTCAAGGGTAGGGAGGTAGGGAAGGAAGGATATAACAGGAAGATTGCCGGGGGCTTGTTTGCCAAAAAATAAGGAGCTCCAGATTCTGAATGACCGATGGAAAGCAGGAGCTGACTTTTTCCTGTTGCCTGTGTAAAGGCATACATGAATGTGTAAATTCTCCCTTCCACCACCCCTCAGATTTTGCCTTCTTGGCAGCTTTGGTGAAGGAGAAGCATCTTTTTTCCCCCCAAGACAAGGTTTCTCTATATAGCTCTGGCTGTCCTGGAACTCGCTCTGTAGACCAACCAGGCTGCCCTGCCTCTGCCTCCTGAGTGCTGGGATCAAAGGCGTGCACCACCACTGCCTGGCTAAGGAGAAGCATCCTTAGAATGTTTATTTCTCAAGTAAGTTCTTGAATCAGACACTTGTGATTAAACTCCACTCTGCCCTGGACCCTTCACTAACCTTTCTAGTTCTCAACTCATTTCTCTGCCCCGGAGATGTACATGATGTTTCCTCACTGCAGCTGTTTTACAATCCCATGGACGTCTTCAAATACAGTTCAAGCACCTTCCATCAAGGATCAAAGGGAGTACAGAGCACGTGGTAGTACTAGCTCCATTGGACAGGAGTGCTGGTCTCCTGGCACCGACTCCATGTTATCACACATGCTGTTGTGGTCAGACATGGGAATGCCTCTGCTGGTTCAATTTCTCATTTGCAGTGGAGTTACTCTGAGGAGAGTTCCAGTTGGCCAGGTGAGTTTCCCATATATAAAGACAAGGGGAATTATCTCCTTTCCAACCCCTGTCTCTATGGAGACCCTGCTCATAGTGCATTCTTCATCGATTCAACAGTTGCAGCTAGTCAGGCTTTGGACCTCAGACATTCAGGAAACTGGCTTGAGGACCGAAAGTTCCAGGCCAGCCTGACTAACTTAGCAAGTGCCTGTCTTAACAATTTTTAATAAAACAAATGAAAGGCTGGAGATAAAACTCAGTGGCAGGGCACTTTACCAACAAGCCCTGGGTTCAGTCCCTAGCACCGTTATAAAAAGCACCAGACAAGACTCTCATAGTGCTTATCACACGTTAACATGGAGACCCGAGGTTATGTTTAAATACAGGTAGACGCTTCAAGTTTGCACTTCAGACAGGCTCCGAATGACATCAGGACCTACTGATCCATAAACAGAGGTTATACTGAGTGTCAAAGCCTGATCTACACAAGGGGGTATGTTTGAAATGAAGACTCTCTGGCTTTACCCCAGACCAGTAGATCTAAATCTGCACTTTAACAACATCTCAGAAATAAACGCTTGAAGCCCTAGGTAGGGCAGATGACTGGCTGGACAACTGAAGGGCTGAAGACATAAATTTGTTCTTGTGATTTTGTCAACAGTAGGTTTCATAAACAGAGTCTGCGGTTGACTGTGCATGTATTGAGGAAGCGTGAGAAGAGCCTACTGCTTTCAACTCAACTGCTTTGCTTGTGGGGGTGGGGCTGGTGGGGGTTCTGATGTGGGTGGATCTGGATAGCAGAGCACCGAGCACCTCCA